CCGGGCGGGCGCCCCCCGCGCTGGGGGCACCCCCGGCCACCCTCGCTGGCCACTGGCACCCCGTATTGCCAACCAACCGAATCTTAAATGATGTATTTATTTGGAAACCGTCCAGCGAGCCGTACATGAGCGGTGCGGAGGGTACCAGCGAGGGAAGAGCAGTGGCATTACCGCCTCTGCCTCCTGGACTTGGTACCCCCCCCAGGATGCTCTTCTGCCAGGGTCTTCCCAAAAAAATGGGTGCTTTCAGGGTGGGGGCCCCCCCCCTCCCCTGTGCCGGCGGCAGAGCGTCCCTCAGCACGGTCATCAGCAGGGTGACGAGGATGGGCAGCACGATGAAGGGGCAGAGGACGCCGTTGGGGGGGTCGTGCAGCGCCCGTCCGGAGGGGGAGCAGTTCCTGAAGTACTGCTTGTGGACGGCCACGAAGAACTCGTCCACCAGCCGGTTGGGCCAGTAGCAGTTGAGCCTCTCGGCGATCAGCGCTGTGCAGTTCGTCAGCTCCCCGTAGGTGCTGCAACACAGACAAGGGCGCCGGGGTGGCACCAGGGACCAGCACACAGCCATCAGCACGCCACCTCCCCCACCCGGTATTAAAATATTTATATTAAAATATAAAATATTATATACTTTCTGCTGTAGATGAATGTATATGTTATTTGAGATGGTATTTGAGGTTGTTATCATCTGAGTGAGTTGAATTTTTTTTTGGTGGTTTGTGGTTTTTTTTTTTGAGATTGTAGGTAGTAGGTATAAAAATATATGTGGGGTTTTCTTAATTCTCATCAGGTTCTGCCACTTTGAGTGCACTTCAAGTGCTCACCCACAGCCAAAAGCATAAGGAGTTTTCATTTACAGAAGGAAATTACTAGAAGCACAGTACTTGAAATTCTCCTTTTAATTGCCTAAAAATGGGGCGGTGCATATGAACCAACAGCATGCTTCGGAAGCTCATCTCTCTGCAGAACCCCGCTTTGTGGGGCCGCAGGACCACGACCCATCCCACCTCTCAATGGCCAGCAAGTCCATTTTTTGAGCTTTAGGTTTTGTTGTTTTTTTTTTTTTTTTCCCAACTATTTGGGAAAAAAGGAGCAGCCCTGAGCGCAAGGCACCGCAGAGCGAGGACAGCCCCTGTGCTGGTCCCACCAGCCACACTCTGGAAGGACAGGTATTACCGTGGGTTTCAAATGTTACCTGCTTTAAAATTGGCTATGCATTAAAAAAAAAATATATGGGGGTGTGTGTATATATATTTTTTTTTCCTCATCCCAGTTATTCACATCTAAGCCTAGAGAAGCAGAGCTAACCAAAACCTAGCTAGCCAATTAAAAATCCGCTTGGGGGAAGAAATATTTTATAAGCAGCTCCCCAGCTACTTGCCGCAGCCTCTCTGCATCTCATCGGCTGGGGTTTCGGGCAGGCGGCGCTTGCCTCGCCGTGCCCATCGGCACATGGCAGCGCCAGAGGGAGGCCCTGCGGAGTCCGGTGATTTAATTAATGGGGCGCCTGGCGCTACTAAGAGCAGCTTCTGCTCAGCATCTCAATGTGCAAAATTACCATTTCCCGTTCAGCAGCAGCCTTAGCAGATCTCAGGAGCTAAACCATCTTCAGGAACCAGAGGGAAAG